CAAAGACAGATCTGAATAATAATGGATAAAAAGTAACTTATTTGTTATTCTGATGTATGAACTATATCATTATAAAGTTTCATTAAATTCCAATCAGTAGATTTTGTGTAATAAGCTGTATAAGATACTATAGTTTTTTAACTATCCCACGGGAACTCTTTAATTTGCCGGGATGAAAAATATCTAAAATATTGACCGGGGAAATAAGGTACCACCATGCGAAAATTCGTTTAAATCGGTCCAACAATTTTGTAGATTAGCCTGTACAAACAGACAAACAGACAGAGAAAGTAAAAATTTGAAAAATTCTGGATTTCTTCTATTTCTCTTCTTACATCCCGCTGAATCGGTTTTTAGCATTTTTTTTTCTATGTACGACATTCGGCCTCTATTGTTTTATTATATGTATGTATGTATATTCAATTTTATTATTTTGTTTACTATATTGAGTTAGATATAAACTCAAAGGCTAAACATTAATGTTTTACGTGATAATCTTCTATAATGAAACTATAAAGCTTATTATTACTAGCAACCGGTTGATACCATGCAAAAGATGTTGTTATAGTAAACTATACTAAATAACCTTGAGGGATCATTAGGTGTAGGATTGATAAACACACTAATGCCCGATTTCACCAACGTCACCTAAGTTTAAGGTATCCCCTAAGCATGGTTAGGGGGCTGTTAGGGGACAGTTTCTGTTTCACCGACAGTTAGGGGTCACCTAAATGTTAAAAGGTCCCCTAAATTTAGGTGCTCGAAATATGGACTTAAAGACGATGGTAAAACGAAATGTAAGTTAGGCCCTAGTTTAGGGGAATTATAAGCTAAGGATCCCATACGTAGGTGGTAGCTTATGGGTTGTTGGTGAAATCGGGCATAAGTATAATTACTTATATCATGATTCTTCTGTATCTTTCTTCTGCATTGTTTTGAGTTGAGATCTCAAGAAGCGTAAAGAAGAAAAGCGTAAAATGCTCATCGGCGCCTATTTTAATAAAACAGCTAACTGTAAAATTAGACTTTCATACAGATTCAACCGAAAAAGAAAAAAAAACATCTATCGTAAATAATGTCTGAAACTAATTATTTTGTCTAGCTGGTAATCGAACTTTATAAAGATATTGTTTTGGAAAATTATTTATTTAATTTTATAGATTAAAGACTAAGATGGAAAACATCCATAAATAATGTATTTATACATTATTAGGTATATGTATAACAAAATAAAATGATGTTCTTTGGTGCTTACCAACATGCATTACTTGAAGACAGCTGGAGCGTATTGGTTTTTAAAATATAATTCTTAAAAGTTCTTATAATCCATACTAATTAATAAATGTGAAAGTGTGTTTGTTTGTTTGTTTGTTTGTTTGTTTGTCCTTCTTTCACGTCGAAACGGAGTGACGCATTGGCGTGATTCTTTGTGTGGAGATAGTTGGAGGGACGGAGAGTGACATAGGCTTTTTATCGGGGGAAATTATCTATTTCCCACGGGAAAACACGTTATAATACAATCAAAAAAATTATAATCAGAATCACTCGAAACTTGGTATTAATGTTCTTCAATAAAATTAAATGAATACATTTTTCAGCATCTTTCGGAATTCATCCTATAAGGGGGTATAATAAGGGATAAAAGTTTGTATGAAACTACCTCTTTAGAGATTTTTGTAGTTTTAGCGCGAGCGAAGCCGCGGGTTCTACTAGTAAGTTATAAAATAATATGAGGTTTTTAGGAAAACGATTGAAAAAGTTGCCCGAATAATTTTTTCAAACGCGTGAGATAGTATAAAATGCTCTTTTCTATAGAATTGGGTAGTTGAAAACTTTAATCGTTCCAAGATACAACTTTTATAGAAAAAATACTTTATTTGTATCTTAAAAACGAACGCAATCAACAGAGAAGAAACGGTATTGAACTGTTATCTTTGCCTATTTATATAGGTATAGATAATTATTGATTAAATGTATTTTACATCCGTAGAAATATTTACATAAATTAATAATTAAATTAAAATAATACTTTAAGTTTTGCGCTTATTTCGCGGATTTATTTAGATTTTTGGTTCCTGACGTTTCGAATGCTCTACAGCATCCATGGTCACGGGAGAGACTGAGGTGTTACATGTCTCGAAGGTACAGTTGTTACAGACAGCCTACCCACATAGTTTTATTTAAAATGTCAAATATTCGCGTAAATCTAAGAAAGTATAATACTTTAAGTTTAAAATTTTGTTACTTATGGCATAAGAGAATAACACGGAGTCGATTACAACTTTCTATCTAATTCTTCTACAATGAATGTTGTGGTGTTCCATACCGCACTTTCGTTTCTGAGTGTTAAATTACTACTAATGATCGCTTTGTAGGAAATTCAACCATAACGTAACGAAAAAGTTTAAACGTTGTTGATGTTCTTTTGTCAAAGTTAAACAGGTATAGTGGAACCTTAATAAATCTATACAAATAAATAAAATTGAAGTGTCGGTTTGTAATACTAAAATACCAGCCTTTTACTAAATACCTATGAAAGTATATATTTGTAGTTATAAGAATAAAAAAAATGTTGTCGTCTGTATTTTTGTTCTGGCTAATATCCAAAACGGCTGCACCAATTTTAACAGGACTTTCACTGGCAGATAACTGACGTTATAAAAAGTAACTTAGGCTACTTTTATCTTAGAAAAAGAATTAGGGTTCCGCGCAAAAAATTGAAACCTATAAAATTGTGAACCAAATCCGCGTACCCAGGAACGCATCCAGGCATCCAGCAGGTAATGCTGTAATATCCTATAAAATACAAAAAAAATTCAACCCTCAGTTCTAGAGATCAGCTAGGGCAGTTAAACAAACAAACTCTATAGCTATATACCTAAGTAAGTATCTGATTATAATGCTGCAAGTTTTAGAAGTGAAGAACGGAATCAAAAGCAAGTTAATAAATTTTAGCTTTACAGCTCTACTATTACATTTAAAATTTTCTTTTCACATATTATTGAATATAAATTACAATAATTTTATTAAATTATATATCGAATAATTAATGCTTTCTTATATTTCAAGACTTGCGGAATTTTAAGCCGGTATATGTAAGTTGCGTAAATGTTATTATATTACGATACAGGTATCTTGTCACCTTCCTATTTCATGTAGGTAATGAGTGACAATAAATAACTAATTTAGTTTTCTTTACTTACGAGTATATGCAAAGTTGTAGTGATAGTGTCTAAAACTATGCGCCAAAAATGATAACATATACCTACTAAATATAATATACTAGCAGACCCGGGGCCACGCAATGTTGTGGCACCATTTATCTATTTTTCTTTAGCTTTATTTTGGGGTAGAATTTGACTTAGGGTAGCTGTATCTCAGGTTTTCTCTCCATAATCCCTCTCCAAATATGAAAGTCGTTAATTTTTCCATTAAAAAAAGAAATAAACGTATATAAAATATCTTTTAAGTTGGAACAAATGATACATTTAAAAAAATCGTTAAGATCGGATATGTAGTTTCGGAGTTCATCGCGGACCAACATTGTGACGCGAATTTTTTTTATGAAGAAGAAGATTTGACAGATAGCTACATATTGTATTCATAGGTGATATAACTAAAGCTGTCCGAGCTATGAAGCTGTACAATTTTCTTTTTCTAGTACCTAAGTTAAATCATGAAAAGAGTCTATCTAGAGCGTACCTATTTGGATAAAAGCTAAAAAACTGCTTTTAAATATAAACAGTACACCGACTCTCATATATTAATCTATACTTAATACAATAAAATTCTGAGTCAAATCTGAACATTAAATATTTTTTTGGAAATCTTATTGAAATAGTTATTACTACCGATACAGAGACCGAATCTATACTTTTTAGAATTTTTGTCTGCCTGTCTGTCTGTCTGGGGACGCATCACGAGAAAACCACTCGACAGATTTTGATGAAATTTGGTATGCAACATATATGATATTTTTTACCGCGGGAAAATATCTCATCTTTGAGAAATCTATAATACTAACCTTTAAAGCGTACCTAGGGACGAACCCGAGCGGAGCGAAGTTGAGTCGCTAGTAATTTTATACTTTTGATTGTAATGTATTGAGAAAATGTGAAATTAAGCACAAAAAGGTTAACATTTTTACTGTCCAAATGCTACTGCAATACCTTGTTAAGATGTGGGACAATCGAATGACACAGAGTTCAATGTTAAAGTAACTGGTTTCTGCCATATTTAGTCAACGATCTACATTTTTTCATTATAAACAACTTTAAAAATTTCCCTCATAAGTAGATATTTATTTTTGTTGTCATTTAATCAATACCGTAATTTTGTTTTTTTTATCATTAAATTATTATAAAGGACTATTTTTTATCTCTATATAAAGTTTTTTTAGACGAGAGTTTTTTTATTTTAAATTGCTCAACTGGCAATTTGACGCCATTAAAAAGAAAATTTAATGAAACTTTATACACAAAAATTTTATATGCGGAACAATATTTTTATATATCAAATTATTAAAATTTAACTATTTTTATAGCCATCTTCGCAAAAATTAAAAATTAATAAGTCTTAAATTTTTAGTTAAATTTAAATAACGTAGTAATTCTAGTACGCATTTTAGTAAAGAAGTTGTTTGCACTTTTTAAATTGTTTATTATTTGATTTGTTTTTTTTTAAATTAATTTGTGTATTTTTATATTAATTTTTAACTTAAATACTTCAAAGCTTAAAATAATTATATGAGCAATTGTAATACGATTTTATTAATTTTATTTACCTGATTATTATTTATATTAATATGAATATAGTAATATTTGTTTAATTAATTATAATCAATGCAAATAACGATTTTATTGTAATTTATTTGAATCACATAAGGGACAATATATTGCACTTTCAGTAATGTCATATAACAATAATAAAGAAATGCGTATAAAAGTACAACAAGCTTAAAATTTCTCAAGAACTACCTTCACCTAATAAAAGTAACTTACGCAATGCATTCTCAGCAGCCACAAAAGTTAACGGAGCGATAATAAAAAATAAAATCATTTTTTTTCACTATATAAAACCTTAGGCACTATATTATAATATCTTTGCCGCGTATTAAAAAGTAAGTGAGCGCGCGCTACGTCTGACAGGAACTGAGTTCGCGCGGTTTTAGCACTCATATATATTTATTTTCGAGGTATTGCAGAATGGACGTGCAAACTAGTTTTTAATGTCACATCTCTAAGATAAATTTTCAAAATGATGATTAACTTCAATTAATCTTATTGTTATGACATTTTGTGGTAATGAACTTACTGCTGTTGAGTGTGGAAAATTATAATTTTGAATAGGTACAGATAATATGTAAGTACTTACAGATATTATGGAAATGTTTTTATTGTTATTCTTAAATATATAAAACGAATATAATTTAGATTTGAAAATTTGAATTATGTTTTTGTTATGTGTTAGACAGATTTTTTTTAATATTCTATCATATTTTGATTCGAATCTGAGTCCACAATTGTAGACGAGTATTATATGTATTTTTTTTATTTATTAATTTTATATTTAAAAAGAAGTGAAGGTATAATCTAAAAAGCGTGTTGAAGATCTTTTCTAGTAACGTCTACTGTTTACTAGAATACGAGAAGGTAAACGATGTGAGCAATACACAAAGTGTTGCGAAAATTATTTACGTACCGAGAGTAAGGTACGTCCATTTGATACTAGTCACTGCTTAGAGGTTTCACGTGCATATATATATATATATATATATATATATATATATATATTTTAATACAGTCCAGAAATATAATTATGACCCTCTTTTTATAGATTTTTTCTTAAATATATAGCAAAAAGTATATTCTTAAAACTTTATTATATTTAAATTAAAAATAGAGTTTTAAAAATACTATACTTTTTTTATTTGCGTAAAATACATGGACTATGTCACTTTAAAATCTCTTATGGGTGGATTTTTTTTATATAAAATATAAGACAGTCCTTGATAACCTTTTTTATCGGGTTATTTGGCAGATATCATATGCTAGTCATACAATCGATTATAAACAAATAATTAGTAATAAAAAATCGATTATAAACAAATAATTAGTAATAGTGTGTACTTCGTTCTTTTTAAGTCGGTCAATAAATATGTAGTTCGAAATTACTAGCCATGACATTCTATTATTATTAAATCGATTGATTGAAATTATTAAAAACTAGCGACTCATTCTCGCTTCGCTCGGGTTCGTACCTAGGTTGCTTCCGCATACAAACTTTCATCCCCAATTTCACCCCTTTAAGGAATGATTTTCAGGATAAAAACTATCCTATGTCCTTTCCATGGTATCTTCTTACCACATTTCATATAAATCGGTTTAGTAGTTTCGGAGCCTATTCTATACAAACAAACAAAAAAACAATTTTTTCTCTTTATAATATTAGAATAAATTTCCGATGTAAATTTTTGACCAAATTTTTTTTTCAATTATGATATACTTACCAAATAGTTCAGGGTGACATACGATCCATTTCCTAAATGCCATTATTGTTATTTATTTATTTATACCGACTTGTTATTATTAAATTAAACGTTTTTATTGAAATATCGATAGGAACAACATTGTAACTTAATATTACAGAATTATCTTTTCAAAAATTCACGATGTAATAGTTAATTTGGTAAAAAAACTGCACTTAAATACGTAAACACAACGTGCACTCTTTCCTTTCTCTCTCAAAGTGCGATGGGATCCCAATTCGATACTTGGGGTAATAACTTAAGGCAAAAGCATGGGGTGTAATACCGTCAACGCCCCATCTCCTGGCTGTTACTGATAATTTTTTGACAGAAGTTCAATAACTATACTTAGCCCGACATCTATAATCCAGGATTTACAGAATTTACAATATATATTCTATGCCACAACTCAAAACCAATGGAGCAGTACAGCAAATGTGGTCACGGGAGAGACTAAGGTTTTAGACATCTCAAGGTCCATTATGTTGTTGATTCCTTAGTCTCTTGCATTACCATGTTTGTTATGAAGCATTTAAAGGGCAGGAAACAAAATTTTTATAAAATAAAATCGAGACAAATTGCGAAAACAGTTTGATTTAAAATGAAAATCATAAGTCATAATTCCTAAATTTATGAAGCCTTCCCCCGCGCAAGTCTCACTCACTGTTCTTTACTATAAGACCATTATGTCCTTTAAAAATTATATGTCGCAGTAATTAAAAATTTCTGGGCAGGGAGAAGAAGTAATTAAAATACTTTATTTAAGTTGCCGTCCAGTTTGAAGTCAAATCTTTCTTTACAAGTAATATTACCTTGAGAAGTTTCTACACCACGAATACCAATTGCCCAAATTACTCGTAGTGTCGTGAGATGTGGAAAAGTACAAATACCCCACAGCTGTCATAATTAATATATCGATTTGTATTTTTTTGTTAGCTGTCCGAGAGTCTTTACTTAAGGTAAATAAAAAATAGTTAGTCTAAGTCTTTAGAGGAATTTTCTTCAACTAAAATAATAAGACAGTGGTAGTGCAGTAGTAACACGCTCGCGACGGAAACAGAGTGTAGCGGCTTCAAATTCCGGGTCTAGCAGCTCTGATATTTTCATGTGCGAATCATTTCTAATATGATTACCACTTGCCTTACGGTGAAGGAAACATCGTGAGGAAACCTGCATGACTGAGAGAACCTAGTAAGTTTTCGAAAGACATGTGAAGTCCACCAACCCGCACTTGGCCAGCGTGGTGGACTATGGCCTGATCCCCTTCGTACTGAAGGGAGGCCCGTGCCCAGCAGTTGGACGTTAAAAAAAGCTGAAAACTAAGATTATCATAATATTCACAATTATTACGAACAATTTAAAAATAAAACGCTAAAGCAATTTATTTACATACTTTAATATTGTTCAAGGGCACAAATTCAGAATTGGGGACTTGGCCCCTAGCGGAGTGGGTGGTATTTCTGGATAAGGGACGTGATAGGGAGTCGAAATGTTAAATAAATTTTTTAATACAACAAAAGATTCAAAAGTTATTGAGACTTAAAGTTACAACATTTCCATACATTTTCATATATTTCTTTACCACCATTCGGAGTGGGTGGTATTTTTAGATAGGGGAGGTGACAGAGAGTCAAAATATATTAAAAATATTTGGAGGAAACGTACGACTAAAAAGTTATTGAGACTTAAAGTTATAACATATCTAACACATTTCCATACATTTCTTTACCTAAATAAGTGATTACAACAGATAAACATACCTTTAACGAATAGTACGCATCCTTTTTTATGTACATTACACATTTTCACAACAATTAATGCTTTATTGTATCTAATATTTTAATAATTTCACAACACAAACAAAATGATCTTACATTTTGACAAAAGCAAAACTGACACTTTGTTTTATATTACCGCTTAAATGACAACAGATTATATTTGATTATTTTTGCTTTTTCTGTTGGTAAAATATTAATATTAATAAATAAATAAATAAAAAGAAAAATATTATTTTCACTTTATAAATACATTTATAACTTTTTATTTGATTTATGTAAAATATATTGTTTTACAATTGTACATTTAGTAAAAAAAAACATTTTTTTATCTGTGAATATTTTTAATTATTTATTTATTATTCGTCATATCTGGGTTAGGTTAGGTTAGAACATTTAAGATTATTTATTTATTATTCCTCATATCTGGGTTAGGTTAGGTTAGAACATTTTGAAAAACCTGGTTGGATGTTATTGATATTATTACGATTGTTTATGCTTACCGGTTCTGATTGATGCTCACGTGACTTGATTTTTGGCTTGTTTTTCTGGATTTTTGATTCTTTCTTGTGTTTTGGATTTTGTTGTAAAGTTGTTTGTTTTTGTGCTTGTTTTGGGGTGTTTGCGTGTCTGAGACATGGACTCGGACACGTCTGAGGGTGCGGACACCGATACGTCAGTGGGGCGTAAGCGGACCCACCCTTTACCGCCTTTGACGGTATCCTCCGGATCGGACACCGAGACGGAGATGACCGTTGGCGCTAGGGTGGTGAAAGCGCGTAGGGAGACGTCCCAGAGGGGCGCGAAGAGTGCAGGGGGTTCGGGCGTTGCTCGCGCGCGCCGTGAACTCAAAGAATTAGAGGAGGAGGACCGCGAACTCGAGTTCAATAGACGTTTGAGTCAGCGGACCTATAGGAAGGCAGGCAAATCGGTGCCTAGCGACTCTGAGGCGTCGGCGGCTGAAACCCCAGCCCAGAGAGACCCGGCCGAGCAGACGGCCGATGAGCTGAGGGAGCTCGCCAGTAAGAGCGTGGCGGCAGTAATGGAAGTGGCCCAGAAGTCGGCCAACCTGAAGGGCACGATGGTGAAAATGTTGAAGGAGTCTGCCGCCACGCTGCAAAAGGTGGTAGACGCGCTGGCGGGTCGTACGGTGGCGGACGAGGTCCAAAACCTAAAAAAGGATAATGCGCGCCTTCGTCGCGAGACGGAGGGATTGAAGGCCGAGCTGAAAGCTCACCGCCGCGAGTTTTGCGAGCTGCGAAAAGAGCTTTCGGCGACCAAAGCCGGTCCCTCGGACACCTTTGCGGGGGACTGGCTAGAGGAGATTAGGGCATCAATCGTCTCATCGGTGGGGACGCTAATCGACGCTAGATTTGCCGGGATAGAAGATCGTCTTCTCCCGGTGAAGAATGTGCGCCCCCCGCTTGCGGCGGACAGGCGTCGCGAGGCGGCTGCACCAATGGCTCCCCCGAGCCCTGCCCCGAGAACTTCACCCCCGAGGCAAGTGCCAGCGCCGGCTGCGGCTGTGGCCGACGGGGGCTCTGCAGTTCAGGGCAAAGGCAAGGGGAAAGGGAAGGGCAAGGGGAAGGCTGCGGCTTCTGCGCGCCCACTTCCGCCTGCACCTGCGGTTGCTGCACCAGCGCCTCTTCAGCCGGTGGCCGGGCCGAGTCGCCCCGCTGCCCCGCAGGAGGACACTTGGGCCACCGTGGTGAAGAAGGGAAGGGGCAAGGCGAAGAAAGCGGCTCCTCCTGCTTCAGCCTCTGCACCCGCAGCGCCGAAGGCTCCGAAGGCCCCTCAGGCTTCACAGAAGCCCAAAATCCCGGCACAGCCGCGCACCGCCGCGGTTATTATTACGGTCCCTCAGGAGGCAATCGCGAAGGGCGTCTCCTACGCGAAGGTCTTGGAGAGGGCCCAGCTGAGTGTGGACCTGAGGGAACTCGGTATCGCGGGGGGGCTGTCCGTGAGGGTGGCGGCAACAGGGGCCCGGCTCCTTGAGCTCCCTTCCTCCGTTGCGCCAGAAGTGGCAGATAGGCTGGCGGACAAACTCCGCCAGGTCCTGGACGGGCTAGCGACCGTTTCGCGCCCTGCCAAGATGGCCGATCTCCGGGTTGATGGCCTGGACGATTCGGCCACAAAGGAGAAGGTGGCTGCGGCGGTCGCAAGGGCGGCCAACTGCCCCGTGGCCAACGTGAAGGTCGGGGAGATCCGCACGGGAAGGGGCGGCGTGGGCTCGGTCGTGGTGCGATGCCCCGCCACGGCGGCCAAGGTCGTGGTCGACGCTGGCCGGCTCCTCGTGGGCTGGAGCTCGGCCAAGGTGGAGGTCCTGGAGCAGCGCCCATTGCGCTGCTTCAGGTGCATGGGCATCGGCCACACCTGGCCAGTGTGCCCGTCCAAGGTTGAAAGGGGCCGCCTGTGCTACCGCTGCGGCGGCGAGGGGCACCAGTCCGCGGACTGCAGCGCAAAAACTGTGCGCTGCGCAGTGTGCGCGGACGCAGGGCGCCCCTCGGGGCACATAATGGGCGGGGGCGATTGCCACCCGCCCGTTACGAAGGGGAAGACGGCCCAACGGACCAGGGCCGCCCCCGGTGTGAGTAGCCGCCAGGCTGGGGAGGAAGCGCATATGTCCTCATAATGGTCGGACACCAGCGCTTCCTCCAGGGGAATTTGAACCACTCGGCCGGAGCGCAGGACCTTTTCCTGCAGTCCATGGTCGAGTGGGAGATAGACTTGGCGGCGGTCTGCGAGCCCTATTTTGTCCCTCACCAGCCGAACTGGGTGGGGGACCTAGAGGGCTCCGTGGCCATAGTGTCTGGGAGCAGCACCGGCCCCCGTCTCTCGGCAATCGAGAGGGGCCAAGGACTCGTCGTGGCAGGGTGGGGAGAGTACGCCATCGTTGCGGTGTACTTCTCCCCCAACCGCAGCCTGGCGGAGTTCGAGGTATTCCTTGACTCCGTCCGCGCTGCGGTCTGCAGGCAGTCGCCGAGGCCCACTATCGTCCTCGGCGACTTCAATGCCAAGTCCTTGGCCTGGGGGAACCCCACGTCGGACGCTCGAGGGCGGGCGGTACAGACGTGGGCCCTACTCTCCGGTCTGTCCCTACTCAATGTGGGGACGGCGTTCACGTGCGTGCGGCAGCAGGGGGGGTCCGTGGTGGACCTAACGTTCGCCACCCCCGCCGTCGCACGCAACGTGATCAACTGGAGGGTAGAGGAGGAGGTGGAGACCCTGTCGGACCACAACTACGTCCGATTTGAGGTCTCCACCCGTCCGGTGCCGATGGACCGCCCAAGGGGGCCCTCTCGAGCGTTCCCGAGGTGGGCCCTGGGCCGGCTTGACACAGAGCTGGCCAGGGAGGCGGCCATCGTGGAGGTCTGGAGCTCCCAGGGGACTGTGGTGGGCGCCAGTTCCGACGTGGAGGAACTGGCTGGCCGCATTCGCGACGCCCTTACGAGGGTGTGCGATGCGGCCATGCCGCGTGTAAGGCGGAGTGACCGGCGTCGCCGGAGTGTCTATTGGTGGTCGCCCGAGATCGCACAACTTAGGGCGACCTGCAATAGACACAGGAGGGCCTATGTGAGGTGTCGCAGGAGGAACGGCTTGGTCCCGGACTTGGAGAGCGAGCTGCGGGTGGCCTATCGGTCCGCAAAAAAGGCCCTGCAGCTCGCGATCAGCCAAGCCAAGGCGGCGGCCCGCCAGGAATTGTTGGCGGGCCTGGATCGGGATCCGTGGGGGCGCCCGTACATCAGCGCGCGGAACAAGCTCTGCGCGCATGGCGCCCCGGTCACGGAGACCACGCCGCCCGACGTCCTCCTGCGACTGGTGGGAGGCCTGTTCCCGGAGTCCTCCGGGCACGTCCCCCCGGTGATGTGTCCTCCCTCACGCCGTGAGGGAGTCGACGAATTCCCCCCAATCACCGAGGGGGAGATGGAGTTGGCCCGCGACAAACTGCGGGCCAAGAGGACGGCTCCGGGAACGGATGGTATTCCGGGGCGAGTTCTGTGCATCGCCCTGGAATACCTGGGAGGGGATCTTCGGGACCTCTTCAACGCATGTCTTCGCGTTGGACAGTTCCCGAAGATCTGGAAGGAGGGGTTGTTGTGCCTGTTGCCCAAGGAGGGTCGTCCTCTGGACTCCCCTTCGGCATACAGGCCAATCGTGATGCTGAGTGAGGTGGGCAAGCTCTTCGAGAGAATTCTCGTTGCCCGTCTTACTCAGCATCTCGAGGAGGTGGGGCCGGGCCTTTCAGAGGCTCAGTTCGGGTTCAGGGCGGGTCGGTCGACCGTGGACGCCCTGAACGCCCTGAAGGTTCGGTCCTTGGCCGCGGTGGAGGAGGGAGACGTGCTTCTAGCCGTCTCATTGGATGTGGCCAACGCCTTCAACACCCTGCCGTTTGAGACGCTACGAGAGGCACTTCGGTACCATGAGGTGCCTCTCTATCTCCGGCGGGTGTTGGACGAGTACCTCCGCGACAGGCAGGTCGTGTGGACGGGGGCAGATGGGGTGGTCGGTCGGCGACGTGTCGACTGCGGGGTTCCACAAGGGGCCGTTTTGGGCCTGGTACTGTGGAACCTCGGGTATGACTGGCTCCTGCGTTGTCCGCTTCTCCCTGGGCTCGGTGTCATTGCTTATGCCGATGACACCCTCGTCACAGCCCGGGGGCGCTCTTACGAGGAAGCGGTACGCTTGGCCACAGTCGGCACCAATCTTGTCGTCGACCGGATAGGGATGCTGGGCCTGAGGGTCTCCGTCTCCAAAACGGAGGCCCTCCTCTTTCATGGCCCACGCAGGGGTGCCCCCCGCAACGCCTGTCTGCGGGTCCAGGGTAGGATGGTGGAGGTACGGGCCCAGATGAAATATCTGGGCCTGACCCTGGACGGACGCTGGACGTTCCGTGTCCATTTCGCCCAGCTCACCCCGAGACTGATCGGCGCCGCCTCGGCCCTCGGCAGACTTCTGCCGAATGTCGGGGGCCCTGGATCTCACTGCCGGCGGCTCTATGCCGGCATCGTGAGGTCCATGGCACTGTACGGTGCCCCCGTGTGGATTGACGCCCTCTCCGCGCCGAACAGGGCCCAACTGCGCAAGGCGCAACGGGTCCTGGCGGTGAGGGCGGTGCGGGGATACCGTACGGTGTCATTCACGGCGGCGACGCTTCTGGCGGGCGATCCACCCTGGGAACTCCAGGCGGAGGTGCTCGCCGAAGTGTACCAGTTTCGGGCGAGTGAGCGGGCTCGAGGGGAACGTCCAGCGCGGGAGGGAGTCGCTCGGATCAGGCGCCTAGCTGACGAGGCACTGATCCGGCGCTGGTGGGAAGACCTGGGGACTCCAGCGGCTGGCTCGGCGACGGTGGGGGCGGTTCGTCCGTTCCTGTCTCGCTGGGTCAGGCGGCCACACGGCGTCCTGACGTTCAGGTTGACGCAGATGCTTACCGGGCACGGGTGCTTTGGTAAGTATCTGTGTCAAGTTGCGCGTCGGGAACCGTTGCCCGCATGCCACGAGTGTGGTGCGTCCGAGGACACCTCGCACCACACCCTCGCGGTATGCGCCGCTTGGGCTCCCCAGCGCCATGCCCTGATGGCGGTAGTGGGTGGAGACCTGTCGTTGCGAAGCGTGGTGGGGGCCATGCTACGCGACGAGAGGTCCTGGTCGGCGATGGTCTCCTTCAGCGAGGCCGTCATCTCACTGAAGGAGACGGCGGAGAGGGAACGCGAGGCTAACGCCTTAGCAGACCCTCTTCGTCGCCGTCGGCTGGGGGGGAGGAGGCGCCGGTATGCGCATCTTCTCCCGCCACCCTAGAGGAGCTACTGCGGGGGGGTCTCTCGTTGACTCCCCTGCACGTCATCGGGGCGGTCGGGATGCCCTGCGAACCGAGGGCATCCTGATTTAGGCGAGGCAGGCCCGCGGGGTACGGGCCGTCCGCAGGGGTGTTGCAGTGAATGCGCAAGCGATCCTGCACACCCCATTGCACTGCGGCGACGGGTTCCGCTGTGGGTTTTAGTGAGTAGGAGTCTCACAGTACCCTACCCATTGACGGCCGGTAGGGTCCCCATGATGGGTTTCCCCAGCGAAAACAAAAAAAAAAAAAAAAAGATTAGAACATTTAAGATTAGGTTAGGTTAGGTTAGGTTAGGTTAGGTTAGATAGGGTTAGGTTAGGTCATATCTTAGGTTAGGTTAGGTTGGAACTGTGCCCGGGGGAGAAGCCAACTCCTACCGGGCGCGTCCCCAGGTGGCGGATAGGGGAATGCCACCCGCTTAGGGCGGCGGGTGGTACCGGAGAAATCCGGCGCGGACCAAATGGCTTGGGTGGGGCCGCTCGTCTAGGACTCGAGCCGAAGACGTTGCGGCCACCGGTGGTGGGACCGCTTGGTCCCACAACAGGATGATGGGTGCCGGTTGCGGGACTGTGGTCGCAGGCCCGCATCCGGCGGAGGAGTAGGCCGCGGCGGGAGAGGATTGCCGGTATTTCGGTGCGCCGTTCTCCCTACCTTCCGCGGCCTAGACGGGGCCGCCACCGTTTGATGGCGGACGCGGTGGGGCTGCAGGGGAAGAGGAGTGTCGGTGTTTCGTTGCCGCTCTCCCTGTCCTCTGCAGCCGATTGGAGGTGGCCCACTTCGGTGGGCGGTGGTTAAGTTTAATGGGGCTGCTCCGGGTACCTCTCTGGCGTAGCAGAGTTGACTGTGGAGCAGCCCCATTGGTTTGGTGGTCTGCCTAGCGCTTAGGCAGACCTGCCGCCGGGGCGCCGTAGTAGTTATGCGCAAGCGATCCTGCGGCGTCCCATTAAGGCGGAGGGGAATGTCGGGTTTTAGTGGGTAGTACCGGCTCTTCTAGCCGGTGAGCCCCACATCACCACCTGGGGGATCAGGTGGTATGCGTAAATGCATTTCCCGACTTAAAAAAAAAAAAAAAAAAAAAAAGGTTAGAACAGTTGCCACAACGCATGAGCCGAGCGAGCGAAGCGAGCGTGCCGCGGTAGCGGCCGGCGAGTGCCATAAATGACTAGAAAACTAGAAAATTCGAATTTCACGCAAAGTACAAATAAAGACAATCATCTGGAGATCATTTTGACAATTGAAAGTGACGTTTTGACTCCAAGTGTCTAAATGGTAGTAATGTCAAAATAATGTATGGAAATGTTATAATTTTAAGTCTCAATAACTTTTGACTCTTTTGTTGTATTAAAAAATTTATTTAACATTTCGACTCCCTATCACGTCCCTTATCCAGAAATACCACCCACTCCGCTAGGGGCCAAGTCCCCAATTCTAAACGGCCGCCTGTTCAAGATTAATCAGCAGGATCAGTCTAAAATTAATGAATAACTAGAGCGTGCAGAACATGGGAACTGATGCCTGAAATTAGCATTTATGATACCATTTAATTATTATGATAATTAATATAGATATTTAATAATTAAAAATTAACTGCTTCGGTGGTGTAGTGGCTAGCAACTACGGCTGCACATCGAGAGGTCTTGGGTTCGAGTCCCGGGTCGGGCCAAGTTTAGTTATTGAGTCTTTCTGCTTATTAAGACTCAGTAACAGCCCGAAGTTGGGTAGTTGGCGGTGTTTCACCCCCGTGCCTCGGAGAGCACGTAAAGCCGTCGATCCTGCGCCTTAACTCTCGCCGGTCATGTCTCGTGTCGCCCCACCGGAGTATAAGTGACAAGAACAGTGCACACTTGTGCACTATAATATCTCCTGCGCTGATGGCACAACAACAAATAATATAATATCAATGAATAAATTAAAGTTTGATTATTTCCGAAAATTTTATTGATTTCGAAGTTTACAGTATCCATACCTACTTAATATTATAAATGTGAAAGTGTGTTTGTTTGTCCTTCTTTCACGTCAAAACGGAGTAACCGATTGGCGTGATTTTTTGTGTCGAGATATTTGGAGGGCTGGAGAGTGACATAAACTACTTTTTAACCGCAGGAGATTATCTAATTCCCACGAGAAAACACGCTATAATATAATAAAAAAAAATTATGATCAGAATTACTTGAAATTTGGTAGGTATTAATATTTTTCTATAAAATTAAATAAATACGTCTTTTAGGATTTTTCGAAATTTATCCTATAAGGGGGTAAAACAGGGAGTGAAAGTTTGTATGAAACTTTTAGAGATTTTTTTGTAGTTTTTTTAATAAATTGTTTAATAGAATAAGTTATTAAAAAACTTTGTATTTACAAATTACCTGCTTATTACGTCTACCTACACTAAAATGGAAAAATAAAAACTTTTTAACAAAAAATAAAAACCGACTTCCAGGCATTAAAAAGTAAAAAATATTTTAAGATATGAATATCTAATAGGCAAATATGAATTTCACCTATCGAAATATATTAGATTTGCTTTGCATCGGCTGGCATCGATTTCGAAAATATCTGATTAGGTATCTATTCTGAATGAAAACCTCCGTTTAGTTATTTTTTACATTTTAGTGCCTGGAAGTCGGTTTTTATTTTTAGTTAAAAAGTTTTTATTGTAAGTAATAAGTATTATAATTCATAAATTACAATAATTCAACAACATTGAAGTAGCCAGGAGGCGATCATATCATTCCCTTTTCATTCATTCATTCATTAATTGTATCCTACTAATATTATTAAATATGAGAAAGTTTTTGAGGATGTACGAATATCGGGATGAATAGATGTATAGATGTTTGTTACTCTTTCACGTAAAAGCTACTGCATGGATTTTAATGATACTACAATAATATACTTAGCTCATACAAAATAACACATGGGCTACTTTTATCCCAATCTACTATGGATAATTTGTTTTTGTTTTTCTAGGCGTGAACCCGAGTGAAGCAAGGGTGAACCGCTAGTAATACTTATAAATCTTAAGCACACGTGTTTTGTAATTTCGCAATAGCTTTTGAAATTTTCCGATGCTGTTCGAAAAACGTATATATACCTACTTATAAGTAAATAGTGCAAAGTACCTGCTCGTGGTAAGATCAAAATTGCGGCACAAAGCACAAATGAGTAGGCATTTAGAACAAAATGTGACGTCAAAATTACAAATGTCAACAGATTTGTAGTATGTCTATTTTGCAGTGTAACGAGAAACAATTGTTTTGTTGTTGTTAAATAAAACTATCTTTTCGGATTATTTCGCGGATTTATTTTGATTTTTGGTTCCCGACGTTTCGAATGCTTTACAGAATCCATGGTCACGAGAAAGACTGAGGTGTTACATGTCTTAAAGGTATAGTTGTTACAGACAGCCTACCCACAATTATGTAATATCAAACATTCGCGTAAATCTAAGAAAGTATTATTGTTTCTCTTGGTTTTCAAAACGAGAGCGTCACCACTGAGCTATCACTGTCATAAAACATTTTACAGAGTGTAAATATTAAAACTATTAAATATCACAAAAGTTTTTGTTTGTGTAGTTATGTACAGGAAGTGGAGGAGTGAAGAGGAGTGCACTTTTTGTTATTTACATGTTATAATTATCACGAAATACCCAGTTAATAAAAATATTTTTGAACTTATAAGTAATTTAATTAAAGTTGAATTTAAAGATCTACAGAAATAAACTTTTTTTGCTTATTTTTTAATTTAAAAATAAACCTCATTGCTATTATTTAATTTACATCTATAAATAGTAAAAGCCTTACTTTTTAGTAACCAGTGCTTTCAAAGAGAACAATTTGTAGTGATGGATTATTATTTTTAATAATCAATAAAAAAAACTATTTTGTACTAGAAAAAAAACCTGACTATCTATGATATATATATATATATATATATATATATATATATATATATATATATATATATATATATATATATGTCTAATATATTTTGACCTTGAATCATGAGCACTTTTTTAGAAGTTTATTATTATATTTATTATATATATTTATTGTATAAATGTATCTAATTAAATAATTAATCTTAAATATAAAACAAAAAGATTTTACATTTTTATTATGTTTTAATGTATTTAATAAAAAACAATATTAAGTTATATAATTAAATTATTATGACATCATCTTTAGCAATTTTTTCATATTCATATTTTTCTCTAGTGGCATGTTCTCTATACCCTTTTTGATATCTTAACGCTAAAGAATCTTCTGGCAAAGTTCTTTTAAAAATAGAATCTCCGTTTAGATCTAATTTAACTATACCAAAGTATATGCAATCATCATTTTTAATCTCTCGTCTCCTTCTCTCCTTTATTATTACAGAATTTTGAACTGGCAACATTAATAACATATCTTGGAGTTTATTATTTAATTTTACTTTAGCTTGTATCATGCCTTTTGGTTCAGAATTATTTTTCATTGGTAGATGACATTCTATACAGCGTACATTGTTTTGGTGATCTGTATTTATAGGGACGGGAAATAATCTATCGTTTAAATAAAATCTATATGCACATTTATGATCACTTAAGCTGGTAACACTACCCTTACTATATAGTCTGGATTTGGCTGAATGGCATTCAAAATAATTGTTTTTCCTAAATTCTTTTATGTTTTGTATATTTTCATCTTTATTTAGGTCCATCAAAGTTACTTCTTCATCAGAATCTGGACATACTTGAAAGATGCTGTTTTCTGAACTTGATACTTTCTCGGGTTGTTCCAAAATCGTTTTTAAGGATACTTTTCTTATATCATTCAAAGAATCACATGATTTATAATTTTCATTTCTATAATATTGATGTATGTCATATTTTTTATTTGTATGTTTGTTTTGTTTAATTTGTGAAGTTGGTTTCTGAGGATGAGGATTTTTAAATATCATGTTGCGTCCTTTTGTAGAATTTTGACGATTTACTTGATCACAATCTCCACAACTTTTGCAAATTTCATTATTTGGTGTTTTACAGTAGAAGTGGTCGGCAGATTGCGTGGTTTTCTTAGGATTATCTTTTGTTCCTTTATGTATAATACTTGTGGAACAACTTTGTTCTGTATAACTCAATATTGGTTTTGAAATCACTGTTTTCACCATTCTGTGTTTAGTTGAATTGTTGAAGTGTCGCAAATGGCTTTTGTAACGTTCACAACAATATTTTGGCATTAATTTATTTGTTTTGGACATAAGAATGGAATTGAAAATTAATTAAATAATTTATTGAATGTTTTTGTTCTGTGGATTAAATGCGTGCCTTAATAATAATTAAATAATATTACTGCCCACTTTTGTTTCATGAAACGTCAAAATGCTTTGCGTTACTATAGCAACGGTTGAATATAGATAATTATTATATAGATTCGATTTAAGGTTTTTTTTTAATATAATTAATTTCCTTATTATTTAATTCAATTATTATTAATTTTTATTATATCAATTTATTTTATACAAATGAGTTTTATTTATTTAATAATAATTATTATACGATACTTTTTTTTAGTAGTGACATCTATGAGCGAGTAGCAGAGATCCTAACCAAAAAAGGAACATAACTCTAGATTTTGAAGGTAGATGGCAGTTATAGAATAATATGAAAATATTAAATAAGTTTATTTGAGTTATAAAATAAAACACCATCTTGCAGAAAAAAATACAACATATAAAATGGAATCAATTATAATGTGTTGTTTTATACGCATTATAAATTAATATTTCTAGAATAAAATGGTTAAAACTTAAATTATTTCTTTAGGTATTTTTATATTTATTCTGTTTATTCGTACATTTATAGATGAATTGGTGTTGCAGTGGAGACTGCGTTTACAGAAAACGTAGTACCTATAATACGCCCTACAGCTAATGGCATAATAATTGTAAAATTTGGCGCCTGGAACTTTAGAACTAGCCATTTTTATTATACGCTCCTTAACGTGGTCGAAATCGCTCAATATTATCAAATATGACCAAACAAATGATATAATAATGAATAAAAAAATCTATTCCACCATTTTGACATAAAATAAATAAAGTTCTTGAATTTATTATTATTACTTTAGAAGATAAAAATATTTCATATTTTTAGCTACAAAGTTCTAACAAAAAATTTAAATAACATAATTTTAAAATTAATTTCCTACATTGTGAAGAAAAACAAATTTTATCTTGACCTTTACGAAGTTACGAAACGTATTCCTTTTAATACATAACTACAAAGTAATTGTACGATTTGTACAATTGTTATGGTACTTTGTTTTACTTTAATGTAGATAACATCTATACATATAATAAAATTCTAACTAAGTCGAATCTGTGCATTAAATATTCTTTTTGGAAAATCTTATTGAAATAGACATTATTATCGGTACAGAGGCCGAATCTATAGTTTTTAGAATTTTTGTCTGTCTGTCTGTCTGTCTATGACCGCTTCACGATAAACCACTGGACAGATTGTGATGAAATTTGGTATGATGATAGCTGGTTATCCGGGTCAACACATGTAGGATTTTTATTGCGGGAAAATATCTCATCTCTGAGTAATCGATACTACTTAAACGTAAAAACGTAACTAGGGACGAATCTGTGCGGAGCGAGGGTGAGTTGCTAGTTTTTAATATTGTTTTAGGTATATTTTTGGGAATAGTTGAATTAAGTAGAATTACTTATCTACATATATGGTAAGTAAAAACTGTACGTAAGATAAATATGAATAAGTTAACTTTATAAATACAAAGTTAATTAATGATTTTAATAATTTAATTTAGTACTAATAAAGTTGTTGAAAAAAAAGCAAAATTAAATCTCGACATCAACCAATTGAAAACATCAGATGGAGATGGAGATTTGATCGAAAATTGTTACATTAAATACTAGGTAGTGCTACCTACCCCGGTTTCTACCTTTTCTTTGCGAAAGAAGTTTTACTTCAACCGCGCGTAAAGGTTACACGTACCCATTTCTTTTTTATTTGAATCTTTGAGTTAAATTTTGAATAGATACATAATGTTACTACTATATAAATGCGAAAGTTTGCATGGATGAATGTTTGTTCCTCAATCACGCTAGAACAGCTGAACGGATCTGGATGCAATTTGGCACAGTGATAGATCCCGGAAAAATGTACGGTTCCCGTGGGATAGATTTGTTTTTATTTTTCACTAGGGACCAACCCAAAGCGAGGATGAGCCGCTAGTAATGAAATATGAAAATAAGTTTTAATTGTGACTTATGCCATAATAATATGTTGACATATTCTAATGAATCTAGAGAAAGGTGCCCGTAATACATTTTTCTACTACGAGCTCCTCAGCACTCCTTCTGGATTATTTAAAAAAAATTAAATACGTTTTAAAATTAATATTCATTGTATGGAGCATTTTGTATAACCAGAATATTTGAGAAATTAAAGATTTTATTAAAGACTAGCGTCCCACTCTCGCTTCGCTTGGGTTCACCTAACAAAAACAAACCTATCCCACGGGAACCGTACATTTTTCCGGAATAAAAAGTGTGGCCTATGTATTCTTCCAGACTATAATCTATCTCTGTGCCAAATTTCATCCAGATCCGTTCAGTCTTTCTGGCGTGAAAGAGTAATAAACATACTCACAAACTTTCACATTTATAATATTAGTAGGTACCTATAGATAATACGGACTAAATTTCGCCCGCGGCGTGGCTCGCGTGATAAGCGGGGAGTAATCTATCTATCTATATCTTTGATAAATTTTATCGAAATCTGTTCAGTGGTTTAAGCGTGTAAAAGTAACAGACATACTTTCACATCTTTTTTAATATAAGTGTGGATTCTATTATAAATACACTTCAATTAAACTTATTTTAATAATAACTTCTTAGACGTATAAACAACCAAGGTGTCTATGAGAAATAACGTCTTAATTGATCGTCCGGTCACGGGTCGTCAGTAAGGACTCAGCCTACTACTGTGACCACGATTTTTTGTTAATAATAATCTTTTAAACTGATAAATATGTTTAACCGACTTCAAAAACAAGGAGGTTCTCAATCATGTTGTTATGTTTTTGTGCGGTATTTTAGGCTTATTTCTTTTGTTTTTTTTAATGATTTTTTAATGAATGTGGTCTCAGATATTTTTCATACAAAATATCTAAGGGTAAAATTATTTTGTTGTAGGGTGGTTTTGATGTCAGGTTTTTTACAAAACCCTTTTTATTGAAAAAAAAATTAATAGCTTTTATCTCCTCTGTCTTATTTGACCTTTCAGAAACCTTATGTTAATGCTACCACAAAGTTCTCCCCGTCAATGATAATCCTATTAAAATCAGTTATTCCGGAGATTAGTGGAAATAAAATACCCGAGACACTTTTTAATAGTTTCGAATCCAGATCAATAAGAAATGGCTATTTTAGTATAAGACTTGTATTCAGCCCTTTTTAACGTCCCACTGCTGGGCACGGGCCTCCCTTCAATACGAGTGGGAACAGGCCATAGTCCACCACACTGGCCAAGTGCGGGTTGGCGGACTTCACATGTCTCTCGAAAACTTGCTAGGTTCTCTCAGACATACAGGTTTCCTCACGATATTTTCCTTCACCGTAAGGCAAGCGGTAATCATGTTAGAAATGATTCGCACATGAAAATATCTGAGGTGCGAGACCCGGGATTTGAACCCGCTTCACTCGGTGTCCCAAGCGAGCGCGTTACCACTGGGCTAAGATTTAATTGATTAAAAATAGCAAAAATCATAACGTTCAACAAACTCGGAATCTTAAGCATAAAATTGCGAGTTAAATGAAATCAATACAACCATATATGCAAAACTACCAACTTACCCTTGCCGGGGTGCGTCCCTAGATGCCTTTTGTTTTAGCGAATTAAAAAAATTACAGTAGCCTAAGTTTTACTCGAGTCATACTCTATTTGTGGTACCAAATTTCATCCAAATAAGACCAGCCGTTTCCGTTGTTATACACACAATATTTAAATAAAACAAACTTTTTGGATTTTTCTCATCATTCATCATTTTTTCCCGTGACCATGATTGCTGTAAAGCATTTGGAACGTCGGGAACCAAAAATCAAAATGAATCCGCGAAATAATCCGAAAATATAGTTTTATTTAAAATTAGCAGAACCCGCGGCTTCGCTCGCGCTATAAAATTACGAAAAAAAAATTCTACAAAGGTAGTTTCATACAAACTTTCATTCCCTATTTTACCCCTTTATAGGATGAATTTTGAAAAACGCTAAGACACATATTTATTAAATGTTATTGAAGAGTATTTATACCAAGTTTTAAGTAATTCTGATAATAAATGTTTTTTTTATTGTATTATAACGTGTTTTCCCGTGGGAATTAAGTAATTTCCCGCGATAAAAAGTAGCCTATGTCACTCTCCAGCCCTCTAATCTGTTACTCCTTTTCGACGTGAAAGAAAGATAAACAAACAAACAAACAAACAAACAAACAAACAAACAAACAAACAAACACCCTTTCACATTTATAATATTAGAGTGTGGATGTCAAATATTCGCGTAAATCTAAGAAAGTATCATACATAATATTTACTTAAATTTATGGTACCATAATTATAAGTAAAGATAAATGATTCAACTCACGTTATCATATCGTCTTCATCTGCAACCCGCACTAGTTCATCGATGTGCGTACGCGCTACTCGTCTGTACCGACTTTGGAGGTTTAAACGTCGCAAAAATAATATATTCCGAAAGTTATTCAAATGGCGCGCGTAAATGTTTTGTTTATTTTCATTTTGTTGGTAAGTTCTTTTTTGATTTAAAGTTTTTGTAGTTATAAAATATTTAGTATTTAAAAAGGATATAAAGTTTTTGATTATTTACAAGCGGCTCATCCTCACTTTGCTCGGGTTCGTTTCCAGAAAAACAAAAACAAATCTATCCCACGGGAACCGTAAATTTTTCCGCAATATGTAATATATGTCTGAGAGAACCTAGCAAGTTTTCGAGAGACATGTGAAGTCCGCCAACCCGCACTTGGCCAGTGTGGTGGACTATGGCCTGTTCCCACTCGTATTGAAGGGAGGCCCGTGCCCAGCAGTGGGACGTTAAAAAGGGCTGAATACAAGTCTTTCTTCTACTATTCTTATACTAAAATAGCCATTTCTTATTGATCTGGATTCGAAACTATTAAAAAGTGTCTCGGGTAGTTTATTTCCACTAATCTCCGGAATAACTGATTTTATACTCTGATGTATGAGTTATATTATTGTAAAGTTTCATCAAAATCCATTCAGTAGTTTTTGTATGAAAGAGTAACAAACATCTATCTATACATACAAACATTCATACATCCTCGCAAACTTTCGCATTTATAATATTAGTGTAGATGTGTGAGGGTTAGTTTACAAGCGATTTTATAGAAAATTACAGAAGGTATTGCTTTTAAGGTAATTTATTATAGTGATATCTATACATATCATAAAATTGTAACTAAGCCGAATCTGTGCATTGAATATTTTTTGGAAAATCTTATTGAAATAAACCTTATTATCGATATACAGGCCGAATCTATAGTTTTTAGAATTTTTGTCTGTCTGTCTGTTAGCGCAACACAGTAAAACCACTGGAAGGATTATGATATTTGGTATGATGATAGGTGGTTATCCTGGTCAATATATAGCATAGTTTTTACCGCGGGAAAATATCTCATTTCTCTTCTGTAAGAGTATACTAATCTGTAAAACCTAAGAATTTGATTTTTGGTCATCTGAACGCGGGCGGAGCCGCGGGCAATGCTAGTTATCTATAAGAATTGAATAGATATGTTGTATTTTACCAGTTCTCTTCAGGACTGAGCTGTTGTGTTTTCTAGTTAAGAGAATTTTGTAAGTAAATGAAAGTTTTATCTATAGTTGAAAAAATAATATTTTTTCCATAGAAGACTTCTAAGAATATTTAGATTGTGTTAATATTTTTTCTAACTTTATTAATTATACATACGAATGTTGTGTCAAGACTATTGTAAATATTAAAATTTAAAACTAATATTAAAACGTAACAAAATTCATGATTATATAATTCATAAAATCTAGCTTTCGCTCTTGGACCTACTTATATACTACTATGACAGCTTATAATTAGCCTTAAAATCAGTTTAGTGATTCCTCAGACTACTTAGTACATACAAACAGACAAAAAAAGTTTACGTTTTTACATAATGTATATTATTTATATTATATTTGAATTAAACAAAATATGTAATTTAAGATAAACTAGTAAATAACATTTGCGTCTCGCATAATCTTTCAGGCGTGAAAAATTTTGAAGGTTATTTTAAAGCTGTTTTAAACGTAATATTATACCAACTTTTGTGATTTCTTTCATTATGTTTTTGACCTTTGGTAAAGTCTAGAAATTGTATAGGTTATGTTCTATGTCTGTCTGTGTGTATTTGTGTTACAGTAGCTCTCTAACGGATGGACCGATTTTAATATAATTTTTTGTTAATCGCAAAGATTATTAGATGATGATATAAATCTTTCAGCTGATTAAAAGTTAAGAATTATTTAATAGTTTAATTTTAATAGACTAATAAAAAATAAAGATTTTTATTGATTTATTAATTATTAAAGTTGTATCGCCTTCAAACTACCCAGCTCCTTGAAAATTTCGGTTGGATATGACGTGTTTAGGCTCATTTAATCGATTGATATTAATAAGGTGTTAATTGATGTTTATGAATTAGATCAAGTTTTCATTTGTATATGTTTTGTGGCTCTGTCCGCATATTTCATCTCTAAAGTATTGTTCCTTAGGATCATACTGTGTTAGATAGCTTGTAACTTCCTCTAATACCTAAATTAGCCGTAAAATAAAATAAAACTAAGAGTAAAAGTCAACTCTTTAGTTATGTAAGTATGTGCAAAAATGTAAAAGTTAGATTTTTTTATAATAATTGCTTGCTTCCCCATACAAACTTTCATCCCCCTTTTTAGCCCCTTAAGGGATGATTTCTGGGATAAAAAGTATTCTATGTCCTTCCCAGGGTCTCAAACTATCTTCATACCAAATTTCATGTAAATCGGTCAGTAGATCCAGAGATTACCCCCTACAACATCACAAACTCACAATCTCACAAACTTTACCTCTTTATAATACTACTATAGACGACCACTTAAAAAAAATAATAAGTAAAAATTATTACCGTCGAGAGATCGCTTTCGCTAAGTAAATTAAAAATGTAGTTCAAAATCAGACATTATTGAATGTTATATTATGAAAAATGAAAGACGAATAAACAAACAGACACACTACATATCACGTTTATAATAATAGTAACTATTTTAAATAAAACTATCTTTTCGGGTTTTTTTCTGTAAAGCATTCGCGTCGGGAACCAAAAAATAAAACAAACCCGCGAAAAAATCCAAAAAGATTTATTTAAAATGTCAAATGTTCGCGTAAATCTAATATTATTACCTATAATATATATGTATTTATTATTAGCGACTCACACTCGCTTCGCTCGGGTTCGTCCCTAGGTTGCTTCTTCATCCCAATTTTCGCTCTATTATGGGATAATTTCCAGGATAAAAACTATCCTATGTCCTTCCCAGACTCTCAAACTAATTTCTTACCAAATTACAAACAAACAAATTAAAAAAATCTTACCTCTTTATAATAATATTATACGACCTTCTCGCAGTACTCGAATGACCTCGACATTGATATGTATAAAAAAATATAAAAACAAAACACCAACTGCGTAAAAAGCGAACTAAAATGGAATTAAGATCACGTAAGAGCATTAGCAGTGCTAGCCCAGTGGTAATGCGCTCGCTCGGTAAACCGAGTGGAGCGGGTTCAAATCCCGGGTCTCGCACCTCTGATATTTTCATGTGCGAATCATTTTCAACACCACTTGCCTTACGGTGAAGGAAAACATCGTGAGGAAACCTGCATGTCTGAGAGAACCTAGCATGTTTTCAAAAGACATGTGAAGTCCGCCAACCCGAATTTGGCCAACGTGGTGGACTATGGCCTGATCCCCTTCATCTTGATGGGAGGCCCACCCCCAGCAGTGGGACGTTAAAAAGGGCTGAATACAAGAGCATAGTAATATATTACGGTTGAAAGTACTTGTCTTTTCATGCTTAGTAATATTTCTATTCAAATTGAATGAACGGGATGACACTTAAGTATAAACTATTCATCCGAACTTATGTTATAAATGCGAAAGTAACTCTGTCTGTCTGTCTGTTACGTATTCACGTCTAAACCACTGAACCAATTTTGATATAATTTGGCATAGAGATAGATGGTACGTTGGAAATAGGCTATTTTTTGTCGCGGTAATTACTTGAAGGGGGTGAAATAGGGGTTAAAATTTTGTAAGGGGGACCAAGTACCTAAAGTACACTCACGATATATATTTTTTTATTTATTTAAAACCTAGGTAGAGATGTAAATATCTAGTTAAAAATGATCATGAATATCAGTTAACAATAATTAATTAGTTAAAATATCTCATAGGTAAAATACACAAACAAACATACACTAGAACTGTATAGATAAATGGACAAAGACGAAACAGTTCAGTATATTACCTCTGTTGGACAACCCATTTTCTTTTTTTAGTGTTATAAAAAACCAGCCAAGTGCGAGTCGGACTCGTGCACGAAGGGTTCCGTACCATTATCTATAAAAACGGCAAAAAAATCATGTCTGTTGTATGGGAACCACACTTAAATTTGTTTTATTTTAATTTAATTATTTATTTTGAAAGTAAATATATACGTAACTAAATATTCTGTGAATATTTCAAGCGTCTACCTGTTGCCGTTATCAATATAGAGTAAAAACGAGCAAAAAAAAAACACGTTTGTTGTATGGGAGCCCCCTTAAATATTTATTTTATTCTGTTTTTTAGTATTTTTTGGTATAGTGGCAACAGAAATACATCATCTGTGAAAATTTCAACTGTCTAACTATCACGATTCATGAGATACAGCCTGGTGACAGACGAACAGAAAGACGGACGGACAGCGGAGTCTTAGTAATAGGGTCCCTGGGTTTTACCCTTTGGGTACGGAACCCTAAAAAATATTTGGAAACATTTTTTATATATAAATAGGCAAATTGTGTTCATATAAATTTTCCTTATCTGGGAAAATATCTCATCTCTGAGAAATGTATACTAACCGTATAATAAAGAAACAAAAACAGGTTTGCTTATATGTATGCATGTAGGTATAATTGCTGAAAGTACAGAGAGTTTCTAATACTCGTTTTAATTAAATGCCATGTTAATAGTGAATTCAAACTAATTCAATTCAATTTCTAAAGAATTTTATAGACGGAGTACGCCAAAAAATGTCAAAGACATAAATACTCGTGGTAGCGTGACTTTGCTGTTTATGCTTACTATTCTCAATTTTTGAGAAAAAAATAAGAACAAAAATGATAATAGCATAATATATTTTTGTATTTTCTAAGCATTCTCTTCCCATTGAGAGAGAGGGAGAGAGAGAGAGAGAGGGGGAGAGAGAGAGAGGAGAGAGAGAGAGGGAGGGAGAGAGAGAGGGAGGAGAGGGGAGGGAGTAGAAGAGGGAGGGGGGGTAGATAAGGGGGGGTGTTTAGTAGCTATTGATGAGCTTTAGTGTTATCAATAAAAAAAAATATTTGATGGCGAACACTTTAACTTCATATTGTACAAACTTATTCCTACGATATACTCATCCTTACAAGATGCATTTATTATTTTATTTTTTCATTCAGATCTTTTTTTATATTCCACTGC